CCAGGTGGCGTCGGAGGATTTGATCAATTCCGGTTCCAGTCAATCCCGATTTAAGGGGGATCTTTCCATTGAGTGAATAAACCAGTGAATAAATCCCCTCGCGGATACGAATTAAAAAAAAATTAATAAATAAATCAGCGGTCAAGGTCCGCGACTGATTAACATTTTAGTTGACTAATACGATGAAAATTAATATCGAATAAATAGCGATTATACAATGACAATTTCAATTAGGGATGAGCGATTTTCATCGATTAATCGAAAGAACTGATAGTTTGTTTTCAATTGATCGACGTTTTCAGATGATTTTATTTTTATTCAATTAAACGATGTTTGATGATTTTTTCTCAACATCGGCTACCGATTTTTATTTTTCTTTTTTAATAGCAGATTTTTGTAATATCGTTGGTAAATATGCACATTAGGTCAACCCCTTTAAAAGTTCATGACCTTGATATATGTTGTTAAGGACATGTTCCTGAGTGTTATGCAAAAAGTTGCAACCGTCGCTCATCGTTTATTAAAAAGTTATTAACAAAAAAAGTTTGGTATATACGTAAGTAGAAATTGCGTTTAACACGGCGCGCTACGCGCGCCTCACCCCCATCTCACCTGCCTCTCTTCACCGCCTTCCCATCGTTTGTTTTCAACCACTTTCGGGTAAATATCGGAGAGTGAGGATGGAGCGCGCGTAACACGCCGTGCTAAACGCACTTGCAACTTACGTATATATCAAACTTTTTTGTTAATAACTTTTTAATAAACAGTGACCGTCGGCTAAAATCTTGCAGCATTACTCAGGGTGATGATCTACATAACATACAATTTTTGAGATCGGGAGGTGGTCCCCATAGGTAAATATTTACCAATGTTTATTTACCAATTTGTTAATAACTTTTTAATAAACAATGAGCGGCGGCTGCAATTTTCTGAATAACACTCAGGAACATGTCCTTAACAACATATATCAAGGTCATGAACTTTTGAAGGGGTTGACTTAATGTGCATATTTACCTTTCTTAAGGTTTAAAGTTTACTACGTACATCTATTGTACACTCATAGACAATAAGGTTGTCCGGTTATTACTGATAAGTTTTGGAACGTTGCCGAATGGTCCAATGAAAGCACTTATCTTCCCAAAATTAGTCCTCTTATCAACTGATGTAAACTTGGCAAACAACTTAATCAAAACAAAAGAAATATGGTTCTCAATATGGTTCGACTGTACTTTGTTTGTATCTGTTTGTACCATTTTTTGTTTCGTTTGTCTCTCAAAGAATAAAAAGATAGGGGAGGGAGAAAAATAGCCAGCAAGCAAGTATAAAATATCTGAAAACGGCCAACGCCATTCAAAAGACAATCGTTTGTACCCGTTTGTATCTCTCTTCAAATCATTTGTACCTCAAAGGAACCGGAAATACAGGATCTTTAAAAAACGTTCAAGAAGTACTTTCGCCAATTTTGGAGATATCGCAAAACGGCCAATGCCATTCGAGAAAGAATCGTTTGTATCTGTTTGTACCTCCCTTCAAATTGTTTGTATCTCAAAGGGACCGGAAGTACGAAAGTAACCTTCCGACATATTTTGAAGATCCTGTAGTTCCGGTTCCTCTGAGGTACAAACGATTTGAAGAGAGGTATAAACGGGTACAAACGATTCTGTCTCGAATGACATTGGCAGTTTTGTGATATTTCAAAAATTGGCGAAAGTAGCTCTTGGATATTTTTTGAAGATCCTGTACTTCCGGTTCCTTTGAAGTACAAACGATTTGAAGAGAGGTACAAACGGGTACAAATGATTCTCTTTCGAATGGCGTTTTGCGATATCTTATATTTGCTTGCACGCTATTTTTCCTCCTTCCCTTATCTTTTTATCCTTCGAAGTACAAACGAAACAAAAAGTGTACAAACAAACAGGTACAAACAAAGTACAATCGAACCGTATTGCGAATTTCTTTTTTTTTGGTCAAGTTGCTTGCCAGGTTCACATCGGTCTCTTATCACATGGAAAATACATCAAATGAGATGCCAATTTAAAGGCTTCGCACATTGACTAACGATGAACAATTAGCGATATCTAATGAGAGTTCTGTTTTGAGGAAGAAACGAAAGCTCTTTCTTCTTAAAACAGAACTCTCACTAGATATCGCTCATAACATAGTTGCTAGTCATGTCCAGTATGCAAGATCCTTTAGAAGGATTTCTAGTATTGAGATCCTTTAGGATTTATAATATTGAGAATATTGCGGGTGTCATTCAATCCTTGTTTAACATTCAGTGAAAAATAAGAATTGAATAACGCCGGCTACATCTATTGCGAATTTAAGAACGCATCTAATATGTAAGCTAGGAGAGCATCCAAGTGATGTTTCCGAACGCACCCCTAGCAGCGTTTAATCTGGTGCTCACCAACTTAAATGTTTACTTTGCATATTTATATGTATAATATGATTAATCGGCAAATCGATTTTTTTTTTAGGAAATAATCGAATAAACGTCATTACAATTTTTTTTATTAATCGATATTTTAAACATCGATGTGTTTTCAAATATCGTCCATCCCTAGTTTCAATCGATTACTTTGACTTGGTTGAAACTTTAATATTTAATTAATAATTATTGACAAAATTAATAATGATTAATGGATTAATGTAGAGTGAGTAATGATTAACACGTTAATAACGACTGCCGGAATTAATAATTAACCTCATCAATCGAACACGTAAATTATTCACGATTACATTTACTGCGATGGATCGATTTCGATTATCGATACTCGCTGATTATTTCGAGCGGCTACAATCGACTAATGGCCGACGTCGCGGCGTGGCGCGGTGAGTAGCGAGAGAAGTGTGACGGTCGCGCAGGTCGACGTATTGTAATTTTCCCAGGATCGCATCGCATCGCGAGCGCGCGGTGTTTCGGCGAAAACGTTGACGTCGGTCGACGTAATTTTCGTGGCGCGCAAGAGGACGACATGACGTGACGCGACGGAAAGAACAGCCGCGCGATGCGGTGACTGCGTGAAATCCGCGGCCATCACTTAGCGGTACATCATTGTTTACAACGAGAGAACACCGGCGACTCCTGTCCGGTCATTTTCACTTGTCACAGATTCCTACTGACCGTGTTCGAGGAGAACGACGAGGAAAGCGGTAAATGGTAATGGATTAACGCGCGCGCGCGCTCCATCGAATTTATTTAGTTTCGCCCGGCAGATTGATCGACGCATTTACACGCGCGGATTTCTACGCGCGCTTTTCACCCGCGGGAAATTATCCCAGCCGAAGTGCGTGCACTCTCGCGCGCGGAATGGCTCGCGGCGCGATCCGATACGGATCGGCCGGGCTCTCTCGGACAGAAACGGTAGCGATAGATCGAGAATGAGTTGTCGTGTGAAGTATCTCTCGAGCGTGGAATGTCACGCGTTGGGAGAGAAAGAGGGACCAGAGACGAGAGAATTCGGCGGCGAGAGAGGTAATATCTCTGTTAACGAGGAGACTCGTCCGCACGTTTATGAGTCGAGCTGCGTCGAGATTCAAGTGAGATAACTGAGCACACGGCTGATCGATTAGAAATCTTCTTTTTCAGTTTTCCATTCGATGGAAGAAAGAGCATTTGGCAACGGAACGTCCACTAGCGGAACTGTCGCGATAATTATGCAGTGTAGGGGATGCACCTTCAATGACTTTGACCTTGACATATGTTGTCAAGATCATCACCATGAGTAATGTGCAAAAGGTTTCAGGCGGCGCTCGTTGTTTGTTAAAAAGTTATCAACAAAAGAAGTTCGACTGTGAATGAATGTAATTTGTATTCATCGTTTGTAATAAACAATGACCGCCAATTTAAACATTTTTAATGGTACTTAGAAACATAAAAACGAATTATCAATACATCCGTTTTTTGTACATAAGTTTTGGCATTTAAATCTTTCGTTTTATTTAATTAACGAGTCTACGATATATATACTAAAATAACAGATTCTGAAGAGAAGAGAGAGACCATTACGCAAGGTTTGCATTTAAGTAATTTATTTATGCCAAACCTTGCGTAGGGTCTTTGTTAATCTTCTCGAAATCTGTCATTTTAGTAAATTGTAAATTCATTAATTTAGTAAGGCGAAAGATCGTATTTATGAAACTTGTTTTGTATTTTCAATAATTATGATCATATAATAAATTTATACGACAAAATATATACAAAATATATATATTTTTATAATGTTTCGCAATATGATCGTATGTTATACTGCTTAGCTGAAAAATTTAAGAATACATGAAAGGAATTTTTGGATATGGTATAAATAACTTTTGGTAATTATGCAGTTAAGCCTCTTCTTTGTTCACATAAATGCATAAAGTTTATCGTACCTAAACGGACCTGTACACAGTGTCGAAAAATTACACTCGATTAATGAAACTTCTTTTGTTAATAACTTTTTAACAAACAATGAACGCCACCTAAAACCTTTAGCACATTACTCAGGGTCATAACCTAAACAACACATGTCAAAGTCATTGAAGGAGCATCTCATATACTATATAATTACCCCCAAGGGATTCTTTGCGATTTTTCAATCATGTTTTTTGGTACAGTGGGAACATTGTTGTACCTCAATAAAATTTCATTTAACTGCTGCACCTCAATAAAATTTCATGTAGATTTCGCTGTGAGATTCTCTCCATCCATCTTCGATACGAAGAAGTTGCGAGAATCTTCAATACCGAGAATGTCGCGTATCGAAGGACACAATTCTACGGAGAGGTAGAATCAAAATATATAAAATTAATATGAAAATTTACATAAACAAATGCAGAAGCAAGCGCTGTCGTCCGAATGAAAATTGCAAAGCATACTTTTCTTTCTTTCCGTCAAACTTTCGCTCAAGAGTGACAGCACCGCCTCTTCTCCGCCTCCACATTTGTTTATTTTTCACTTATGTCCGGCAAGCCTGTCTATCTTACGTAGCATATAAAAATTGTTCAAGAGGACCTACCCGTGTAACGATGACCATCTCTCAAGTCGTGGTTGTCGGCACTCCGCCTGCAAGAACGAAAGAGACATGACGTTCAAAATGGAAGCATAGCCGTGCAAAGACACGCTCGTGAATCTCGCTGGATCGTGCGCTATTTAAACAGATAGGACGAGTCCTCAATTAAGAGGTTAGGCCACCTTGGACGGGTCAAAATCACCGTCATTTCCGGGAATTTTTTCTGAGGATATAACGAAAGAAATAAAAATAAAAATAAGATATTTATTAAGCAACTCTTTAAGGGAAGAAAAGTATTTTTTTTTGTAAATATTTTACACAAAATGGCGGCGTTGAAGCCCAGACACCGAGATACCTTTTTGACCGACGCTCTCAACGGTGTTCAGTCTCACGGCTACAGCATTGGACGTAAAACAAAAACGAAAAAATGTTTATTATCTAGATGCCAGAAACTGAAGAAGTACATGTGGATATTCAGAAATATTTATTTTTATGGAAATGGTAAACACTTGAAAAAAAATTTCACGTTCCGACCTAAAAATTTCGTGCAAAAGTGTTAATTGCAAAAAAAGTTTTTAATATTTCGCAACATCCATATGTATTTCTTCAGTTTTTGGCATCTAGATAATTAAATTTTTTTTTGTTTTACATCCAATGTTGTAACCGTGAGACTGAACACCGTTGAGAACGTCAAAAAGTGTCTCGGCTTCAACGCCGCCATTTTGTTAAAAATATTTACAAAAAATTACTTTTTTTCCCTTAAAGAGATACTTAATAAATATATTATTTGCATTTTTGTATTTTTTTGTTATGTCCTCGGAAAAAATTCCCGGAAATGACAGTGATTTTGATCCATCCAAGGTGACCTAACCCCTTAAAGGTGACGCTTTTTCAATTCGCGAACGTCACACTCGCGAGCCATTGGAAAGTAGCCGCGAATCCGCGAGAATTCGTTGAAGCCGTTAGAGCTAAAGAGGGCCGAGAGAGCGCTCCTCCTCGTTCCTCGTGAACTCGCAGTCCCGAGAATTCGACGCTACATGCGTTACACACGCGCGTGTCGTCGCGTCTATTCCCGAGGAAAAGCATCCCCGGCACATGATGTCGGTGATGTCTGAACGGTCGATCACCGTTATCGCCGCGGCGGCGGCGGCGGCATAAACCTGTTCGCAAAAGTGGGTTAGGCAGTTCGTACCGCCGGCGAGCCATACAGCTCCGCGACGAGACGAGCTGAGACGGGACGGGACGAGACGAGATCCATCGAGGATCCTCTCGAGATCGATCTCTCTTCTGGCGTAGACGTTGTTCTCGATACCGCGCTGCGTTATCGCGGATCCATTATCGCGTCCAGGGCCTATTTCAGACGCATAGCGAACGTTGGATATACCTTTCTTCTATATCTCGTCTTTTTCAAGAATATAAAAATTTTGCATCTGTTTGCCCTACAAAAATAATGAAATGAAGTAGTTGCACCAACATAACGAGAATGTATTTTTACAAAAAGGTTAAGCGAACGTTAAGGCAAACATTAAGTCAAGAAAAACATTTTGAAATTGAAAGATATTAAAATAACAAATGTATTCTTTTTTAACTCCAAGTCTCGTGTCTTTTAAGATATAAAAATTCTATATCTGTTTGTTCTATAAAAATAGTGAAATCAAATAGTTGCGTCAACTGATAACGAGAAAATATTTTTATAAAAAAGGTGGCAAACATTAAGCAAAGAAAAATAATTTGAAATTGAAAGATATTAAAATAACGAACGTCAGATATGTCTTTTTCATTCTAAGTCTCGTTTTTCTTAAGAATATAAAAATTCTACATTTAATTATCTGTTTTGCAAAAGTAATGAAATCGAACAGTTGCATCAACTGATAACAAGAAAAAGAAGAAAAATAAAGAAAACAAATTTGAGATTAAAATGGCGAGAACAATGGATAAATCCTTTTCATTTCAAGTTTCGTCTTCTTCATACGAGCGTCACGCGTCTTGTACTCAGCTTGAGCATCAGCAAAACATATTCAGCACTCGTCCAGAACAGGAACTCATGTCCGCGGAAAGTCAGAGGAAGAATATTTTCCCGGAAAGTCAATACGCCACGCAAGTGCAACGTTACATAATAATAACGTTCATACAATATGCATATGCGCACATTTTTCTCGTTGCACGCTCCATTTACGCAATTAACTTCAGCGCTCGCGGCGCAACTTACCGACGATTTGCGCGTAAATTGAACGTAATCTCGCGAACGTCGTCCTCGAAGATAGTCCTGTCCGCGGAAACAAAAGTCCTGTCGCGTCGAATAGCTCCCCGCGGAGGCTCGCTCGAATCCTCACGGGAAGATTTATGATCGCGTCAGTCGTCCCGTGTAACGAGAGCGTTCGAGTCTCTTCCCATGACAAAATGCAACGGCCGATTTGCTCGCCGATACAATCTACGAGCGCGACCACGAGGACCGACATATTTCTCCGACGCACAGTGGGGCCAGATGACATTCTTTGGTTCAAAATTCTCTAGAGACCTGAATTTCCAACCGATCATCGACACCAATGGATGAGATTGATCCTGAATAAATTCTGAAGAGATCTGTCGTGCCAAAATTAAAAAAAAAATTTTTTTCTCGAATTACTAGCCCCAAAAGAGGAAAAATTATCGTTAAACGCGAGAAACTTGTGAAACACTCATTATTCAACACTTATTTCTCTATCTAATAGCGGTGCACATTGGGTCATGCTAATAACCCAATGTGCACCGACGGTAATTACTTTTTATCTCCGTATGATGGCTTATGAGCTGAGGTTTATAAACTTTGAGCTCATGGACCATCAGGTTAGAGTTGGATGTTTTGTTCAATGTTCTCCATGTTTTTACTTATTGGGTCTATATGGCTTAATTCTTTCTTAATGTGGGCTGAAACGATGAGCTCCGAAATTCTGAGTTTTCTAAAAGGTGATTATAAGTTCTGGGGTCTCGCATTTAATATCCATAGGCTCGAACTCACTGAGGCCGAATCCAAGACACTGTACTTTAAACGATAAACTTTTAAGATAAACCCTAAACCCATGAACCCTGAACCGATAATTTTTTCAAAATTTCGGCTAGACAGATCTCTTTAGAATTTATTCAGGATCAACCTCATTCATTGGTGTCGATGATCGATTGGAAATTCAGGTCTCTAGAGAATTTTGAACCAAAGAATGTCATCTGGCCCCACTGTGCGACGACGCGATCGCATCGAGTTGCGGGTCGCGTCGGTAGGGCTTATTGAAGCGAGGAAAATTCAATTCTCCGGACGGAACGAGACGCGACGTCGACGACGACGACGAGAACACGCCGGTTCTCGCTCGGCTGAGCAATGCAATTTAGGGGGACGAGCACGTAGATAGATAAAAGGCAGGTAGAGGAAGCTATTGCTTCTTCGGAGCGAGTGAGCGAACACGCAGTTTGCGTTGTCATCGAGGCGATTCGGAGGATTTGCTTTCGGCGGAGAAATTGTGGGATCTTTTTTATGCTCGTGCTGGGCAGAGGCGATGGAGATAGTCTTTATCGGTTCGTTCGGACGAGCCTGTCAAGAATCGTCGAAACAAGGTTACGACAGTAGCGTCGACACGTGTGCGGACGGAAATACAAACTAGGGCTCTTGGGGATTTGGGCATCTATTCGTGTGTCCACGATTGGTTTCGACTCGTAAACGTAAAATCGCGCACTGACGAGAAAGATATATAACATATCAAACTGAATACAAAGATATTGGGTCTATGTATTTGTAGCGAAAATCGAATAAATTTCAAACGCAAAATATTCAGCAAAAAAGCGATTTTAATCAATTAAATATATTCCATTCTGTTCAATGACTTTCTGCCATCTCTCCACGAGCTTCATTATCCCTCTTTCATAAAAGTCTTGAGATCTTTGGGCAAAGAAATCATCCAAGTGGTTTTTGAGAACGTCCAGGGAACTGATTATTCAAATTGTTCTGTAGCGCCCGGAACAAGTGATAGTCTGAAGGTGCAAGGTTCGAACTATACAGTGGATGCACCAAAACATCCCACCCAAGCCGCAATAACTTTTGCCGGGTCATCAGAGAAACGTGTGGTCTAGCGTTGTCTTGGTGGAACACAATGCCCTTTCCGTTCGCCAATTCGGACCGCTTCTGATCGATTGCTCGCTTTAATTTGGCCAGTTGTGAGCAGTACTTAGTCGAATCAATCGTTTTGTTGGGTGGCAGCAGCTCATAATAGACGATTTCTTTTCCAATCCCACCAGATACAGAGCATGACCTTCTTCGGGTGTAATCCAGCCTTTGCGACCGTCTGAGCAGCCTTCCCGCGTTTCGATCATGATCTTTTTCGACTGACATTGTCGTAGACAATCCACTTTTTATCGCCAGTGATCATCCGCTTTAAAAATGGTTCGTTTTGATGGCGTTTGAGCAACAAATCGCAAGCTGAAATTCGGTCCATTAAATTCAGTTCGTACGGCACTCAAACATCAAGCTTGTTTACCATCCCAAGCTTCCGTAAATGTCTCGAAACAGTTGATTGGTCAATGTTGAGGTTATGTCCGATCTCTGTAGCCGTCAAATGCCGATCGGAGTTGATTAAAGCCTTGATTTTATTGACATCAGTAGTGACTGGCCGACCAGAGCGAGGAGCATCTTGGAGATCAAGATCTCCGCAACGAAATTTCGCAAACCACTTCCGACACACACTTTCACTTACGGTATTCTCTCCGTACACAGCGCATATCCTTTTGTGAGTTTGCGACGCGTTTTTGCCTTTTCGGAAATAAAAAAACGAAATGCACCGAAAGTATACGTTTTTTCCTTCCATGTTCAAAATATAATTAAACGTATACGTCACGGATCTCGATGAATACTTTTTCAAAATGTCGGCACAAATTTCAGCTTTCACTCAGTATACGACACTTTATATGTTTGACACATGTGCGAGCGGAAAAACAACTGCGAACAACATCTGTCGGAATTTCGCTACGGAATTATGCATAGACCCAATATTTTTTCAGTGGGTATCAACAGGTTTATTCATTGAAACAC